TGGTAGGGCTCTGGCTCCGGGGTCGTCTGTCGTGGGAGGAGGAGCGGTTGTTGTTTTCGGAGTCGTCGATCCGCTGGTCTTGGTGACGTCGTTTGCGTTTCCGACGTCCGACTCCTTGTCCGTTTTCTTGGGTGTTCTTTTCCCGTTGCCGCCATTTCTACCTTTGCCTCTTCTGTTCTTCTTCCTCTCACCGTTTCGCCTACCCTGTCTGCCTCTCTTGCGCCCCCGTCTTCCGTTTTTCCCGCCGTTGCCCTCCTCGCCGTCTTCTTTACCTCTGTTCTTCTTCCTCCTCCCCTCGCGGTCCTTCCGTCTCGCCTTTGTGACCCTTCCGTCGGCCATGTCTTCGTCTTCTTCTGTCTCCTTGTCCTGGTTATCTTTATCATGGCCGCCCTTCCGTGTTGTTGAGACGGGCTCGGCGCTAGGCTGGTCCTTCAGCCCGCCGGCGTTAGGATCGTCCCTCCCCGCTCCTTCAGGCGTGGTCGGGTCCGTGGGCTTGGCGGCGGTGGGCCTGGCGGTTGTGGTGGGAACTTCGGTCGGGATGTAATCTGCAGATTGGTAATATATATGACAGATTAAAGTTGGATGCGGGCCAGGGGACATTCTAGCTAGCTAGCTACAGTGGGCCTAGTAGTTATAGTGGGAACTTCGGTTGGGATGTAATCTGCAGATTCTTAACGGATGAAGTAGAATTAAGGAGTTGTATGCGGGCCAGGGAACATCCTAGCTAGGTACACTTCAGACACACAGTGAAGGCACTCAAAAGGGCTTGGTAACTTCAGTTAGGCTCCAGAGATCATTTCCATGTCAAATTCTGTAACTGTATGTAATTTCTAAAATATTCTATGCATTCAAATGCTCCTTTGAAATAAATAAGAAAAAGATACACAGTAACCCCATTCCAGGCATCCAATCAGGCTGCAAGACTGCTCTGCAACAAGGTCGCTACACATGGAGACACAACAAGGTGTTAAGACAGCTAGCAGTGAAGCTGGAGGAAGTAAGAAAGGAATCCTCCAGCACATCATCATCCTTTCAGTCTATCCAGTTTGTGAAAGAGGGTCAGAAACCAAGATCAACAGCAGTCACTGGTACAGTTAACTCAGGAAGCAGTATTCTGTGCAGGGGAAAGTGGGAGATGAGAGCAGACTTGGACAGACAACTCCACTTCCCGAGTACCATCTGTGAGACATCTCTTAGACCGGATCTAGTCCTGTGGTCCGAGGATCAGAAAGCTGTACTGATTATTGAGTTGACAATCCCGTGGGAAGAAAATGTGCAAGCAGCATTTGAAAGAAAGAAACTGAAATATGATGATCTGGTCCAGCAGTGCAAGCGGAAAGGATGGCAGACGCGCCTATACCCAGTAGAAGTCGGAGTAAGAGGATTTGTAGGGACTTCCTTCATGCGTCTGTGCAGGGACTTCAACATCAGGGGAAAAGCCCAGACAAAGCTCACTAGACAGGTGACTGAGGAAGCAGAAAGAAGCAGTTTCGTGTTGTGGCTGAGGAGAAAGGATAAGGCGTGGAAGTCCTTCCAGAGAAGTGGTGACAGTGCCTGAAGCGGAGCAGGGACGCCTGCTCCGTTGCCCCACCCCCCAGAGACGTCTTAGGCAGAACGGGGCGAAACGTCGAGCAAGGGAGGCGTCTAACTGATGAGACGGCACTGCAGACACTTGGAACCTTCCGTGGTGCTGAGAAGCACGCCAAGCTCAGCAGCAGCTAGGCAGGTCAGTTTCTGATCTGTATGTCCAATTTGCATTCAAATGCTCCTTTGAAATAAATAAGAAAAAGATACACAGTAACCCCATTCCAGGCATCCAATACAGTCAGGTGTACGTGGTACGATGTTTCGTATACTTCGGGCATTAGGCATTTATTGGCAAAAGTGTGATACCAAAGAAAGCTACTCAAGCAACTGGGCATGTTTTGAAAACGGTCAGACGTTGCAGGGTAGCGTTCGTTACCTTCCGGCTGGCGAAAGGTAGTGGATGCTACCTAAACGCCTGGCCGTTTTTTACCTGGATGTCTAAGTTCTAACCTTCATCGACTACGTAAGAATAGTAAAAATTGGTCTGTGTCTTACCCGGCAGCACCTCGTACAGATCGGCGCCTGGAGCCAGCCGCAGGCCCACCCCTGCCGTGTAGGAGTTCCCCTTACTCAACATGCACACTTTCTCCTTAGACCTGCAAACACGAAAAGCACAACACCTAAGTCAAAAATGTGCTTTTAGATAATCTCCAAGCAGATCTTTTGGTGGCTTGCAAAGACAGTATCACATTGACCAGACAGTATCCATTTGCCAGGCAGTTACCATGTGGAGGAGGTATATCTAAGGCTCTCAGCAAAGTTCGCCCCCAAGAGTCGCCACGGCTAAGTCCAGACCCAAAGCCTGTCATGCAAGCTTAGCGTAGCCATCCTGGAACCGTTCCAGTGTTACCAGCAGGCAATTTCGGGTTGGCAAGTAGCCCATGCCAGCGTGATTAGTCGTGCGTACCACAGAAACTTATAATCCTAGAAGTTATGTAGGCTGCGTTACACAGTCTGTCACTGTCAGGCTGCACGATTGGACGCTGTCAGTGGAAGGGCTGACAGAAGGACGAGGTGGTCTGACTGACTAAAGAGTTCAAATATACATGTTCTAGTAGATGGGCAGTCCAGTACAGGAACGCAGAAATGGCAGATGAGATGTACTGCTATTGCTTAAGCCAGTATTTAGTCACAAAACAGGACGTGTGGTAAATATTATGATATAAGAAAGAGAGTTTGAAACCCCCAAGTCGTGTCGGAGTCGTGTTCTTGGCAGGATCATGTATACGGCTTGACACCCTCCCCGGGGAAGATGTAAGAACACGAGTAAATCCTGACCTGAAGTCGAAAGACTTGCAGACGAAGGTTGTCTCCTGCAGACAGAGCACCGCGCAGCCGTCAGCCGTGTCCACGTCCTCCACGGTCCGGTCGTCGTTCCCGTACGTCACGACCCCTGGCGTCCACTCGAACTTCTGCAGGATCGGGATCGGGATCGGGGCACCTGGGCGGGGTGGACGGGAAGGTTAGTCTCCAAGTAGAGTTGAGTTTTTCTTATTCCAACATTTATCACAAGACACTCAAGTTTTTCTTTCGCTCGCTCAACTAATTTGGCGTATTTTTGGCGTGTTTTAGGCAGTTTAATCGGGATCTTTCTGTTTTTTTACTGGATACTGCATGGCAAATGGATACTGCCTTGCCCGATACTGTCTTTGCAGGCACCAAAATATCTCCTTGGAGAATACATGAAGGTATCGTACACATGTAGGTGTCCACATGGTAATTATATGGACTAATGTGAAAGTTGAAATAAAATGAACTTTTTAATGGAAAATAATGGATTTAATATTCTCTGGTGCTTTCCTTTGACCACCAAGCTTATGTGTAATAGTTTGTCCAATTAGGAGTCTATTCGGTGTACTATTCGGTGAACTTGTTGCTGCCAAAGCCGGTTTATATAATCAAGTCTATAGCCGTTTTGGTGTATCACCGAAGCCATACATAAATCTACCTGGAGATGATTAATGGCGCATTGTACGAAGTACTTATTATTGCTGCTGGCCTGTAGACTGACCCCAAGTCCATTGTAATATGCGGAGGAATCGGTCCTTGTCTATTGTCATTATGCCACGAACCCCCTCCCCCTCCAAATGGCTTATAAATATTGACGAATTGATGACTTTGTCTTTCTTAACTCCTCTTAATGACAAAGTCTCTGCAGCGAGCCATGGGTACAAATCTCCAAGCAGATGTAGGCGTGAAAATCGTTTTCTGATAGAATATATTATATATTCTGCAAGGAAGCGATCAGAGGACGGGACTAGAGCTAGTATGTAGGATGGGTACCAGGTACAAGAAAATCCGGCTGGTCTGAAAACTGTACGATTTTTCAAATCACCATCTGCTTGGAGATTTGTGTTAAGTCCCTTACAAGCAAGAAAAGAAGCCCCTTGAATAACAGTAGCTTTAATTTATAATCCTTAAAGTGGGTGTTACTGCCAGTCTCCCCCGGGACACACCCCTTCGCCCTACTCCTTTTTACCTGTCGCATTACGATCCTACAGGGACTAGACCGTATTAATTGAAACTGCAGGGTGTATTCATACATGTGTACAATTCTCATGAGGATCTTCCCGCTACATTTCGTGTTGTGTCAAAACTGAATGTTCATCATTCAGGTCAGTGTTTAAGTATCGCAGGGCAAATAATAATAGACTGTACCGTAGTGTACGTGCTCCTTTCTATTTTGACACTTGAGGATATTACGATGTTCGAAAGGGCCAAAAGGGATAAGGGCAGGGATGGTGTCAGTTTAAACGCCGCCACACCCATACACCCATATTATTGTTTTCTACTGTTAGTGTTGTTCACAATGATGTCCAGAGAACGCGACATGGCTATCATCGTCAGATTTTACTGGTAAGCTTTAGCTTCGACATCATTTCTATTTTTTTGGTCTAGAACTATCGGCCCGACGCGTTCTTTCCGTAAAGTTCAACAACGTTTGTTCTATGCAAGGGGGGTGTAATGAATGAAGAACTTTATTGATATAGGTAAGGGGGTTATGGGCATAGCCTACTTGGTCTATGTGACCTCCTTGATCTCCGGACATGACTCCAATCCTTTCAAAAGCCCTGTGCGCGGATACCGATAGTGTTTCATAATTTTTTACCGCATGTTTACGCTCAGTTTGTGGCGAGGAGAAATATGGCAACGGGGTTTTTTTTTATTAGGGGGCTTATTGCCAGAGATGATTATGAATGCACACAACACTCCGGGGAAATTATTGTCATGTTTCATTTTCTTATCCTCTATGCGAAGCCCTGTTGCAGATCTCCCTTACTTATCATGTATCGATTAACGAGGAAAGTGTTTCGATCGCTCGTTCCCTTTGTGTTGCCCTTCACAGTGAAATTGGGCAGAGTACATACATGTATAGGAATGGACAGTAGTTCAAGTAGCAGCTTGGACACTGCAGAATTCAACCCTTGACAATAAAGCGTACTCTCCAAGCAGAGGTTATGTGTTAAGTTTATAGTTATTAGACGATTTGTCGTGTTTTCTAGTTTGGTGGCTTCTTTTTTTTGTACCGAAAAAAACCGAAGCCTCGCAAGACGTCTAAAAAGGTTTAAAAACGTCCACGAACACGCATAACCTCTACTTCGAGAGTAGACAAACTGGGCTGTTTTGCCGTATGTACTTGGATCGTCCGATCTGCTCCACTGAGACGGACGCACTCCGCGGTGACAGTGTTGTACATTACTCCGGTTGACCTGGGAGGTCTTACATCAATCCCCTGAGTTATGGAGCTGTTAAAATGCTAAGCTTCTAAAGCGAAGGGCGATTAAGTAGCCTCTCCTACTAGTCCGGCCATCTGTTCATTTTTTGTGGTCCCTCACAGGCGCGGGGAGTTCTACTGAGCAACAACATGGGAAGACTGGGCGGGTTTTGATACGCTTTCCTTTTCATTCATAGCGAGGAAACGTTTGCTTGTAGTTGCCAAAGGTTCTTTTCCTGTTCTGGTTGCAATCTTTTGCATGACAAAGATATAACGTTAA